AAGTTATTAAAGTTATTGTGACCACCTTGAAAGGTATCTATTAAAAATGATGTTGAAAACGTCAGAAGTATCCACAAAAGCAGTACAGTGGGAGTATGTAGAGGAGGTTGCAACATTGCGCTGTCTGAGTTCATACTTTGTGCTATTTCAGGAATCATTTCATTATTATAAAACTTTCTGATCCAACCAATTGCTTGCTGTATGAAGCCCAAACCTGAACCGAATGGTGAAAATTATTTGAAGAATATTGTTTTAAAAAATGTCTGCTATTTCAGAAATACAACATGATCATAACAAGATGTTTTTCAAGATTACTCTTACTACCAATTTATGATTTTCTGTTGCATCATTGACAAGTCATATCAACTTAGAGCTCACAGTGCTTGCAACACAACTAAAGCGGGCTAAGTACAGAATTGAAGGTTGTACGCAGAAAACTAAATTAAAGATAAAGATATATTACTGGCCGTACATGGGATTTCCGGCCAGATGCAGATCATTATTTTGCCCAATGTTAAACAAATTTTACTCTCCATAATAGTAACATACATCATCAATTAACAAAATCTAACGAAACTTTCGCGAGTGTAACAATCTTGAATGAGTATTCTCTGTGTACAGATCAATACATAGGGCAATTGTCTATACATTCATAGAAGCACAAAATCCCATTAACGTTCTTACCTGACCACAGTATGTTTGAAAAGGTATCACAGCTAAATGTGAATTACATAAGACAGGTGGTTTTGTCTACAATAGGAATCTGTAATCATTCCCCATCAAGACTGAGACAAATAGTGATATCAACTTACGCAGAAAGTCGGTCAAGATGAGGCATGAGAGTCTGCTCAACAATCTGAATTTCAGTATTTCTGTCCATCAAATCCGAAAGCTGCTGATCACCGTAAAGCGTACCAAGACCAAGTGCTCGCTTGGAACGAAAATCTTCCAAATGGTACCTGATATCAACAGCAGCTGCAGCTCTTGCTAATACAAAGATACTTCGCATGGCATCAGAGTTATCTATTTTGTTGGCCAGCACAATGCCTGAGGAAAAAACAAAATTGTTTTCTCTTACTTTTTTCTGATGATTAAACTTTTAAAAAACAGAAACTAGGAATTTTTCAAGAAATATTTCTATAAGCATGAAGGGAATTGCACTAACCTATTGATTCTAACACATCATTGGGCACCATACTCTCAAAGGCTGTGAAGAAAACATGATTTGTTTAATTGACAGAACAGAGAAAGAAACTGACAGAAAGTTTACGTCTGATTTTCGATGAATACGATTGGTGGCTATTGAGAGATAAATGTTGTAGGAAGAGAGGTAATGGGATATACTGTAAACTGCTATAAAATTGATGATTTTATTGCATTTGATTTGATGATTTTATGGCATTTGATTGGATGATTTTATGGCACTTGATTTAATGATTTTATGGCATTTGCTTTGATGATTTTATGACATTTGATTTTATGGCATTTGATTTTATGATTTTATGGCATTTGATTTGATGATTTTATGGCATTTGATTGAATGATTTTATGGCACTTGATTTAATGATTTTATGGCATTTGATTTGATGATTTTATGACATTTGATTTGATGATTTTATGGCATTTGATTGGATGATTTTATGGCATTCGATTTGAAGATTTTATGGCATTTGATTTGAAGATTTCATGGCATTTGATTTGATGATGTTCAAGTTGTTAACCCACTGTCCCCAGGACAATTTTCACTGCTACTAAATTTCAGGATTTTCAATGTCTCACTAAAATGCCAGAACTTTGTCTCTCGCAAAATAAGAGCAGTTTTACAGTAGGCAGATGTTGATATGTGCACAAAAAAAGGCAATGTGCACACTGTATAATGTAGGTGGGGGAGGGGGTACAGATAGACGATGGTAAGGGGAGAAGGGTGCAGATAGATGTTGTAGATACAAGTGGGTTTCATGCCTTGTATTTTTTTATTGATAATTAATACCCTCTCCAAAAAAAGCATGTTTTTACAAACTTAATGTATTTTTTTTAACATGCCGCAAAATCAATTTTACTTACAGCTTGATCAGCCAGGAAAGTTGAATAGATCTCGTAAGCCCATTTCCTCATTTCTTTAGGGCTACCATTGCTGTAGCCATCCGTTACAATATAGAAAAACTAAGAAAATAATGAAGAGAGTACCTGTTTATTAAACTGAATACGTCTTATATCTGACTGGATATTAAAGCGAGAGGGTCGTCACCTGTGCATGTGCGGGAATTGAGTCCCAAGCGGCGATAACTACACACGCTTAAGCACACAAAGGCTCATGGGTAGATGCTTGTTTGTAAACAATTACACGCTATGGCCATCTGACATCTGACGACTCCCTCGCTTTAACATCTGCAATCACAAATTGATTTTGCACTGGGATGTTCAGATGCAAAATAAATAATCAGTATACCCAAGAATAAGTTTACTAATAAATATTCACAATAAACAACAAACTATTCCACCATACATTCTTTCCCACCCAGTCCTTGAATAATATCCTGAGATATTTGGATGAGCGCCACCTAGTGGCCACATTATGAATACTTTTGTTTTTACTTACCATGCTTGAAGGATCACTGTTGGATATAAGATAATGCAAAAGCACAGCAATATGTGCAGGCTTCTTCTCCAACTTATCTAGACTTATGAAAGGACCGTGGTCTATAACCTGTAACAAAAAGTAAATCATAGATCAAGTTTTGCACCTGCACTAGCAGGAGAGAGAGATTTTTTCGATACTTTTATAGTTTAGAAATGTATTTTTTTTCAATCTGCCATCTAGCAGTTCAGCATTTTTTTTTTTTTCAAAGTCATATCTGTCTATTTTAATGAAGGAATTCTCCAAGAAAACACCATGCTAAGTGTGCAATAAAAATTGAAATCACGCAACAAAAACGTTGAGATGCGTCCACAGAACCAGTTAGCTATAATTGCGAGTGATGTTAATGCAACCTGTGCAAAATTGAACAATTTGCACAGGTTGATAGCTTAAAGGACGATGGTCGCCATTCCACGTCATGTTCAATATGGGACTCATAGCAACAAACAACGCATGTAAAATAAATGGTTTGTTTACATGAAATTCGAACACGCAATGCATGACGACCTCCACCCTTTAAAATCTAGAAGCTAGTATCTAAAAACCAACAACTAGATACGTGCGATTTCAGTTCTGAGGGCAGCAAATTCGTACCCATTTTACATGCAAGAAAATCAAAATCTGGGGTAAATGATCAATACCAGGTTATTCTCTTGCTTAAGCAAAGACCATTATTTCTGCTGAAGGATAAATAATCATAGCCAGAGTCCTTTCAGCTCTGAGTGACTTAAATACTGATTTGTTTTTTCAGCACCAATGAATAATCTTGGCAAATTTTGTTACACAATTCTAGCATAGACATCCTTCCAGAAAGAATAACGGCCCACCTGCATATCATTTTAATTAGCAAAACATTGAAACACTGTAACAATTTCTGATCATTTCACTACCTACATACATACAAAGTACGCAATAACGGTTAAACAGTCCAGAGGTTTCAGTAAAGCGGTTATCAACAAATGCTGCAATACAAACTGCTGAACATGCGCACTTAACCCTTTCGCAGCCACCCAATTTTCTAATCTTCCACCAAAAAAGTAGTTGGTTTTTGGGGTTTTTTTTACATGAAAAATTTAAAGTTGTTTTGATAACAGATTTTCTGTAACGGTTCAAAATTTTAACAAAAGTAAATAAATGTACTGCGAAAGAGTTAAGGGAACACCGATTTTTTAATTTAGTTTCTTGAGGCCGCACCAACATAACTTACAGCGTTCTCACCAGGGATTACCAAAGTAGGGACAAGAAGGTCCCCACAAGTTTTAAGAAAGGGGCACTGTAAAATAAAAGTGAAACAAAAATTGTTTTTTGTTGTTGTTGTTGTTGTTGAGCGAGTATGTCAAGTGAAACTAAGTAACTGTTCATCAATGGCGGCTTGTCAACGTTGAAACCTGATACAAAATTGACATTAATCTGGAAATCTTTTGTTTGTAAATATATAAAACATTAATAAAACAGTTGTCAAATATTAATACATCAACGACAAATAGTCACACATGATTGGCTGCAACATATACAATATATTATTATATAATAAATTAGGCGTTTTTTTCAAAGACTTTAATTATTTCTGATGCATAAATTAGAGTCCATTTAAGGTTTTTCGTATTCATTGACACCTATTCGAGAATATTCATTGTGACTAACATGAATAGGTAAGCTCTTATCCGACAAACAGCTGTTATCACTATAGAGCACTAAATGTTTTTTCACTGCTTAATTAATCTTTCAAAAATTACTAATTTCCTCAAGTGTAAAAAAATCATGCCGTTTTATTGTGAAAATTAACGCCAAAAGATCCTACTACAATTGTTAGTTAATTCTGTGTTGTGTTTGCCATTCAATGAGGTCGCTGAACGCCATTAACATATTCAAATAAGTTTTGAACATGGTGGCAGCACCCAGCATTCAGGTTAAATATTGGTCAAATAACACTTTCTGGCCAACTAAAATGACGGATATCATATTTCATTCCAAGTGTTTGCATGTGACAGAAAACATTCGCTTTCGATGATGAATAAATTACGATGAAACTAAGTTGAATTTTACTTGCATTTCATAACAAACAGTTGAATTGATTTTTTGTACATTATTATAATTACAACTGAGTAATAATCAACATTTGCAATACCTTGAAAACAAGTAAGTTTTATATTCCCTTGTGAAACAGTGAAACCGGATTACATTATTTTTGATCATTTACTGCTAAGAAATGCATTCTTGTTTTTGTTTTTTTGAAACTTTTTTAATTTAGACCCAAGTTAAGGACATTCACTCTACCCTGAATACTGAATTACAGATTTTATTGTAGTATTACATGTGTCAAAACAAAAAGGGAGCCCTCTATAGTGTGAAGGACGCCCTCTAGAGATATCAACTTACTTGCTCATTATCAGATTCAAACTCATCATCCTCCATGGATACTATCTGTTGATTGGTTGACGACGGTGGTATTGTCGTCACCGCCGTATCCATGTAGGAATCAACATTATTCACATCGGCCCTTTGTAAAACAACCTCTGTTGATTGCGGGGATGTTGGAGACTGGATTTCCTCAGATGGGGATAGCTGGGGAGAAAAAAAACACAATAACATCAGCAATAAATATATATATATATATTTTAAACACAAGGGCTGTACAGCAGTTATCGCGACCGTGACAGTATCGTTATTTATATAATGATATGAACTTGTATTAATAAGCGCCTATTTTAGGACACAAATCAAACAAAACGTGAAGTGTGCCTGGAGCCGGTACGTCTCCACAGACATATACATAATGCTCTGAATATCAAAAGAACTCCAAAGCAATACAAACTATAGCCTGTGAATGTAGAGAAAAATATGTAATCATTGCTTGTAATTATATCTCCTGATGACTCACTCTCCAGGGTTCACTTTAGAAGTTTTTATACTACACTTAAACAAACATACAACATATTGTTAAAGAGAATACAATGTAAGACCATGTATGCAGCAAACAACATATCTAGTTGTCTTCTCCCCAGAGAAGTCAAACCATCATTGCAAAGTCCAGCCGGAGAATGGAGTGATGTTATTTTATTTTATTTTAAAAATGCATATTTTCATTAAAATCTATGTTAAAGCACTGCTAACAATTTGTGACAACCATGAGTACCAGTCTAAAACTAAATCTGATTTTTTCACAGGGTCCATAGCAAGAAGAGCCAAATGATTTCCAAGACTTTTCCCAAACTTGCAATTTTGACCCTTAATTCAAAGCTCATCAAAGTTCTGAGGATATAGTAGGTCCCTTGAGAAAACTGGCTTTTCTAAAATGAGTTAATAACTATAAAGAAATTTAAAGACTTTTCAAAGATTTTTTGATTTTTCCTGTAATTTAAAGACAACTCAAAGACTTTCAAAGGATTTTCCTAAAGCTATGCACCATGTTTCAGCCTAAGTAACCAAACACAATTTTGAGATATGATGTGACAATATTTTTTTACAATAAAAACTTATGGTAAATGGCTCAAGAATTTTCATACATTTTGACCCGCGGTTTGTTTGAAAAGTAGTTCCATGACCATATATTTCTAATCTTGATTTTGTAAGCAGCATAAAAAAGATATATTTTAAAATCAACACATTAAACAAAATTGAGTGACTACAATTATCAAGACAATCAATCAAGCATGACAAGACAGTCATTTAATAAGTTAGATCAGTTTTGCTGAAAACAATTAAACTTTGGAATTCAGAAAAACAAGATTTCCGAACAGACAGACAGACAAACAGATTTAGACATGACATAAGCCCAATGCTTTAAGATCAACATACAGGAACTAAAAACAACTCAGACATGTTGATGATCTGGTTCCCTCCATGTAAACAACATTTCTGCCCCGAATACGATCCTCTTCATACAAGATTTACTTAGCAAAGTGATTGCATATTTCTCGTAAATGTGTATTGTGTCTGCGGTATTTGGCCCAGTTCGGGTTTTTGATTGTGTGTTTAACAGGAAACAAGAACCCTCTCCCCAGTTACACAGATAACAATGTTGGGATAACTCAGAAGACAATAAAACACCAAATAACAACATTCCTGGCAATTGAGATGGTGTTTAGACATTTCACGGATGATTTCTAAGGTGAAGTACATTCCAACTGTAGGATAGCTGTGAAGAAGGTGACTACAAAGATTAACAGTGCATTCTCATTTGGTAGTATCTGTGGAACACCTCCCGTCGTGGATTATGTTAACCACATATACTGTATTCTGAACCCCCAATATTAGAGAGGCATCCCCCCACCTAAGTCGAAAAAAGGGTCCCATGCCGAATATATATCGCAAGCTCCAGTACATTTTCTTGAAAATGGTAACACAATCCCTGCTGTCCACTGTTCTTTATGATTACTATGAAAAACGAAAAATCCAGATATATTTGAGCACTGGAGCTAGCCTACACTTGACAGAACCAAGGAAATGATGTCTAATAACTGACCATAATATTCATTATTATACATCTGTCGCCGTAACACCATAAGTTACAGCGTGCCGTAATTTTGCGCTATTTTACAGAGTATCTTCATCCTACCATATTAGGAAATGCGAATTCCAAATATGGAATGATTACGCGCGTAAGCTTCATCTAATAATAAAAACAAAGATGGCTGCCGCCGGGGTTTGACCGGATCCCACACAAAGAACTTTGCTGATTCTGTTCTAAACTTTTGGGGTTTTGGCATTCCAATGATGACTCATTGGGAGGAAAAGATGTATAATAATAAGGTTATTACGAGGATACCGCAAAGTATACACTCATACGCTGTGCGTCGGTCAATACTCCCGCCGTACTGTACAAAATGCAAAGTCCGTGTGATGCTTACAGCAATCAGTGAGAGGTTTTCTACACAGATCATACAAAGTAGGAAATATCTAATGAATAGTTTGTGTTATGCTCTGATATAACTTATCAGTTGAGTAAAAGTTAAAAGTAAAAAACTTCATTGCTAACCCACTAAATAACACTTATGTAATTTTAAAAAACAAGCAGCCTCTTGGCTGAGATGGTCTTAGTGTTAGCCATGCACATTTATGATGATTTATGATGATGATGATTTATTTCACCAATAATAATAACAATTCTAGTAATCTTATAATAACAATAATAATAATAATTTCTTGGTGTGGACCACAGAGGTAGTTCATCCGAACTAATCTAGTCTGTGGCCCAATCCTAACCAATATACATTTCTATGCAGGCTATATATATATATATATGTATATATACGTGCACACACACACATATATACACATACAAACAAAAAACAAAATCTCCAGAAATAAATAAGTAAAATAATAATAATAAAAACAAAATGAGAGAAAAAAAGAAAGAAAAAAAAATGGAGCTGTTTATGCGCTACTCTGCACATCATATTATTAGTGGAACAATCATGGGCAAGTACAAATAAAGTTTAGCTGCAAATAATATTTGTATCATACATATGATAAAGCTAGTATTTAAATATTAAAGTACGTTGTTCAGTATATGTTGTTTTAGGGAACTTTTGAAAGTTATTCTATTAGTAATTTGTTTGATTGGCTCAGGTAGAGAATTCCAATGTTTTACGGCTGTATATTTTAAAGTATGTTGGGAAAGTGAAGAATTAAAGATATCATTAGAAAATGAACAAATCTGTACGAGGTCTATCTGTACCTACATGTATAGTATCAAAGCAATTGAACTTCCTGTTTTCAACAAGAAGAAACAAATATGGTATCACTTTTTAACAAAAATGAAAATATTCAAAATTAGAGAATTGAAGATTTTCACAAAATGAACAAATCTGAGGAAGGTCCACCTGTCGTATATCAAAGCAATCGAACTTGCAGTTTTCAACAAGACAAAAATGTAACTTTTTACCAAAAATTACAAAAATATTCATCAAATTGGAAAATTGAAGATATCATCACGAAATGAACAAATCTGAGAAAGGTCTACCCAAGGAACATATACACAAAGTAACAAAGCATTCAGGCTTGTAGTTTTCAAGAAGAAGTCGAACGAGTAAAACATAGACACGGACGACGACAGACAATCACTCATATGATGAGCTCCGCTCGACAAAGTCGGCATTGGAGCTAAAAAGTTGACACGGACGATGAGCTAAAAAATGTAAAGGTTTTGTAATACTGCATCTTTAGTATGTTTTTATTTTCAATGTTCTTAAAGCAAGTGTATGCTGCATAATGTTGGATGAACTACAGTAAAAGGATTAATTATTCACTGGGTTTTAATTTTGCTTATTTCGTTGACTGGAAAAAGTGCTAAACCCAGTGAATATGTAAAATTGAGCATAGAACACATTATCTAAATGATAAAACCGTGAATTTAAAACCCACTGAATATGCCAGAAATGCTAAATCAGTGAAATTTAAACCCAGTAATTTTACAGTAAATGGTTTGAATCTATATGTAGGTTACCGAGACCTATACATGCTATCTTTAGGCTTTCATGCAAATCACATTGGACAGTACTTACGTGTATTATTTAGAGATTAAAAACAAGTGATTATAGGACAACATTTTAAATAAAAATGCTGTTGTTGTCTAAGATTTAACATGGTATTGCTATTGTCAAGTTAGCCCCTTAATAGAAAAAAATAGTAAAACTGTGAAAGAACTGAAACAGACGTTTTGGCGAGGAAGTGAAAGCTACTGTACGAGGCGTGGACCAACACGAACGGTGGCATGCAACCAGAGTGGTAAGCATAGAAACAATCAATAATAAAGTAACATGTAACAATAGAAATGTTAATCCTGTCTTAATTAGCATAAATTAAATATGCTAATTATATGGATTAACGAACAAAAACAACACTGTGACTGTGCGTAACCATCACGGTTACATTAAAATACCACAAAATCAGTGTAACATTTGTAAAGGGTATGCGAGCATCAACAAGAAGAATGCAACACAGTCCAACTCGCTATGCCCAATAGAAATATACATACCTGTACTTATCTAGCATAAATTAACTACTGTACACCACTTTTGCGATAAACATAATTTTCACAAATTTCATGAATCAGTAAAATTTTGTAGCCGTGAAAAGTGTTCAGAGATTCATGAAATTCTACAATCATGAAAATTTCTAGGAGCAAAAATTAAATTGTTTACAGTACGTTAATTACTGTAAAATAACATAAGTTGAATAAGAGTTAATTAATTAATGCAAAATTTTAAAAAGCATCTTAACACCACAACAATGTGCCCACATCAAGGACGTTTTCTGTCAAAGGTCAAAAGTCATCAACATATAGCCAAACAATCAGAGGAGTCATGGTCTAAAAAGTATGACGCTGCACAGTGTTTGCATACCAGTATTTGGTGCAATGCCACTTGGCAGATTAGTGAAGTTGTCATGAAAACACACACAGGAATACTGCAAAGTATATGCATAAAGGTAGTACGGTGATCATAGTGATAGATGCAATCACGTACTGCTTGAGTGTATACTGCTACTCGGCAGATTAGTGAAGTTGTCACAAACACACACAGGAATACTGCAAAGTATATGCATGAAGTATATGCATAGAC